TTGATGCCTAAATCCGTCTGCCGTAACACCAACCACAACCACCAGGCGCTGCCATCAGCGCTGATTGGCGGCTCAGGTTGTCTTTACGGACATGTGCTTCTATCATTCATCTACTCTAGTATTTGATGTTGTTCTATTGATCTACCCTTGTTCCTAAATATATAGCAATTTCCACATCATCATTTAGTTGACGCCCCCTTTTAATTTTAATTAAATCACATCATTTGCATTCCATATCATTGCTCGACTAAGCTTAAATCTCGGTTCTTCTTTTGTGGTAATTGTTGTAATTGAATTTTTGCCCCAAGTGCTTTGTGTGCTAAATGCTTATTTATTTTTGTAAGTGTACTTATGTGCCTAATTGAATTTTGTGGTAAGTGTTATTTTAAATTTCAAGTCCTTTTGTGGTAAGTGTTTATTTTATTTTCCTAAGTGTATTATGTGTTCATTTTATTTTATGCCTAAGTACTTATATTATTTCTATGTGTGCCCAATTAATGACTCTCGGCCCAATTTTCACTCAAGTGCATTAATCAGCCCAAGAACCGGTCCACTTCAGTAGCCCAAAAATTCGGCCCTAACAGTTCAAATTCTCTTGGCCAGCCCATTTCTTCATCTTCTTCAGCAACCCCTCGCCTCCCTCAACTCCTTAGCCGTCAGGTAGCCCTAAACCTCCAACGAACTCCCCCAAATTCAGCCAACTTCTTCCACCATTTCAGCCGCCACCAGCAAGCCCGAACACCCCTCCAGGACTCTCTATTTAAGAGATTGAGACAACAGCCACCACCTCTGTTTTTCTCCCCGTCAAGTTTACAAAATCCTCAGAAAAATACCCTAAATTATTGGCAGTCCCTGAGCGAAAATCTCCTCGGCCAGCATCCTTTTCCGGCAAGAAGAGAACGGCGATCCTCGACCTCCGACGTTGAGCCCGACCTCTGAGCTTCGACCTTCGACCTTTGACCTGCAGTCACGACGACGAACCCCGACCGAGCCACCAGAAGGACGGACGAGCACCAGGAACCCCATTTCCCGTCGAGACAACTCCTGGCCGAAAGCGGTTTCTGCAGCGGCTGAGAGCAGGCCGAATGCAACGGCGGAGTGCCGAGAGCCGAGACGAGCACCACCGCAGCTGAGGCCCCGTTTTCCGGTAGACTGGAGGCAGCTGGTTCCGGCTAGGAGCAGCAAACAGGATCCTAAATCCGAGTCGAGCGCCGGGCAGCAGCTAAACCGATCCTTTCTGAGAGTCGAGAGCCGAGAGCCAACCGAGTCTTCCCTACCCTTCCCCTTAAGCCCAGAAGAAAGGTATCCTAGCTGAGCCTTTATGCCTTTAAAGTGGCCGAGACTTTGTGTTTTTACATGCCTAATTTCAGTTTTAATTAGGAGTTATAAGCATGATTAGTTTTTATAATTTTTAAGCATGAAAGTGTATGAAAGTGTATGCTGGTGCCTTGTATGCTTAGAACTTGCTGAGCCTAGTTATATGCCTTAAATGCTGCGGTTTTTGGTATAAATTCAGAGGTTAGATGTTCCTTAAAAGCATTTAAAAAGCATGCTTATATGTGTTGCTATTAAAGGGAAAAATTAGCATATTATTGGCTTGGTTGTTGTTTGCCGTATATGAGCCTTATTTTAATTGTTGAACCAATCCTCTGATTCTTGTGTTTCATGGTTGAGAGTAAGTGTCTTGGGGGTGTTAAATTTCAGTTATTAGACTTATTCATATGCCCCTTAAAATTTGTTAAGTTTAAAGCGGTTTGAAGTATGTTTTGTGCGAGTTTGAGCTAAGCATGTTTGTGAGAGTGGAGGCTGTTTTTATATACTGAAAGTTGAGTTAAGATTCAGTTTCAAAGGTTGGAAGTTCATGCCTAAGTGTTAGCGAGGATTAAGAAGGGAAAGAAGATCATGTATATGTGTTGATTCTTTTGCCTTGCTTGTGGTAATCTTGGGGCTATGTTGTGCTTATTTTTGTGTTGTTTTTATGTGCTATTTTTGTGAAAGAAGATCATGTATATGTGTTGATTCTTTTGCCTTGGTTGTGGTAATCTTGGGGCTATGTTGTGCTTATTTTTGTGTTGTTTTTATGTGCTATTTTTGTGTTAATTTCATGCTGTAATGGTGCTAAAATGTTAGTTTTAAAAGCATGCTTAAATGGATTATTTTTGAAGAGTTAGTGCATGATGTTTATTGTTGGTATCATGTCGATTTTGTAGCATGTATATTTGATTTATGCTGAGCTTCTCGAGTGCCATATATGCTGAATTTATGCATATTACAGAGCTCGATGAGCATTATTTGGAAGGACATTAAGTCATGCTTAAGAGTAGAGAGAGAAGAGTATGTGTATGCGTGTTGTTGTGCCTTAAATTGGTGTGTATGTTTTGAACTCTTTTTTTTCGATTTTGTTCTACATGTTCTATGTATCGTTTTGTGTGTTTTATATGTCGTTTTGGTGGTTTCTTGTTCAGAGATTGAGACTAGTAAGTTGGTCCTCTTTGAGTTAAATTAGAAGTGAGCAATTAAAGAAGAAGAAAAAAGAGAGCACCTTAAGTTTTGGTTTAAGTGCCTTTTTTTCAAGCCATAATTATGTTTAGGAGGCCCTTAATATCAACTTTAGTTAGCCCAAAAGTTAGCCGAAAAGAGTTGCCGGCGACCGGCGAGAAAGGCTGGAGAATGCCCTAGCCCACGAACCCAGGCCGGGCAGCCATAGTAAGGTCGACCCAAGCGGTCCGGTGAACAAAACCGTGTCTGACCGGGCACGGACTCGCCGGTTTGAGTCAGTCGAGAAATATTGGATTTTTGAGCCTCAGTTAGAATTATTCGAGAACTCTAGACGAGCCTAGATAAGTCGAGAAGTTTCAGTAGAAGTTTTATTGTTTTAATTGCTTAATTGCCTGCTTTGTTTGTTTTATTTGCCTTATGTGTTTTTAAGTGTCCTTGACGGCCTTTCTTGCCTGTTTGTCGCCGCTTTTAATACAACAACAA